CGTCTTCGATGATGACAGCAATGTACATGTTATATTACAATTAAAAACGATATCACTAAGCAACTGATTAGGAAGGCTATTCCTATAATCCTCCCCGATCTCATTGTTAGGTTGTTTGCAGTCTTCCTCGTTAAATTATACCATCAACCACACCATCCATGAAGCACGCCAGCTGATATTGACATCTGCAATAAACGAATATTATTTAGTACATAGCCTGTGTTATTTGGAATAGCAGAATCCTTGATTGCCCAAGAGTCTTAACGTTATAAACGTCGTCATAGCAGAAAAATTATTAAAACGTCGGAGAAATATAGTTCTATTTTCCTTTCCTCGATGCAAACTTCAGATCGTGAAACAGGCCGTGCGTCGTGAAACAAAAACCGGGCAGTAAATCCCACGCTAATTGTTTTACGGTATTCGTATATTGGTATTCTTTCATTTTCGCGTATACACACACACTCTAACGAGCCGTGTTGTGACCGTCGATATAACAAAGCAGTTAGTCGATCTGCCTTGCGGTCGAGATCGATGAAACGGAAAGAGTTACGCCAGAGACCGACCAGTTACTGGTACGACCACCTTTAAAGATCTGTTCGAGATTAATGAAGTATGTTTAGTTAATTGACCAACTGAATTGTCTGAATTCTTTGTTTTTGGCTAATATTAATTCACGATTAACTGTAATAGTCTACCCCACAGATATTTCTTGCTTTTGGGTATTTCTTTCTTCATTATCATCAGGATTATCATTGTCACCATTTTCAGCTTATTCAGCCATTTCCAATTATGGTGTAGCCTCCCTCACATATGTAGCCTCCCTCCCTCTTTGTATTTGAACCCATTGTCGTATATTGTTAGCTATGCAGGCCCAAGTTATCGCTGCTAATTTCCTAATATCATAGTCCCATCTCAGGTTTGGTCTTTCTCTAGGTCTCTTAATTCCTCGTGGATACCATGCTGTAATATTTGTGGTCCATCTGGTGTCCGTTCTTCTTGCCAGGTGTCCTATCCATTGCCATTTGAGGAATTTGACTCTGTAGATGACATCTATTACCTGGGTCTTTTGTTGTATCCACTCTATTCTTTTACGGTCTCTTTTGGTTATTCCCAGCATATTTTGTTCTATTCAGCGTTGTGCGAACTGCAATTTCCTCATGGTTTCGCATACATAGGTCATGACTGGTAGTACACATTGATAAAATATTTTCTTCTTTAGATAGAGTGGCATTCTGGATTTGAATATGATTGAGTTTATTTTATCTTAATTCTTCTGTTGATTTCTAGTAATAGAGATCCCGAGATGAGTACTAGTTGTCCCAAATATATGTATTCTTCTACTATTTCCAGTGTTTTGGTTTGGTTATTATTTATCAACTATTCTATATCAACATTATTATTATTTATCAACTATTTGTTTGTTATTTATTAAAATGTCTTTTCTTTCCACTAGTTCGTTGTACATTACTTTAGTTTTCGCTAAATTCATTTTAAAGCCCACTTTATTGCTGGCTGTATTTACTTCGTTAATTTGTGTTTGTAGTTCTTCAGGACTATCGGCTATTAGGCTATGTCATCAGCGAATCTTAAATAGTTAAGATATTCTCGACCTATTTTTAATCCTTTGTTGGTCCAGTCTAGTTAACGGAAGATTTCTTCTAGCGTTGCTGTAAACAGCCTTGGGAATATCACGTCCCTTTGTCGTACTCTTTTGCCTTGCGTATTTCTTTCTTAGGATTATATTAAATTTTTTGAGGCAATGCAATCTTTCCAGATCTATTGTGGTTCTTTTCTAATCCTTAGGTTACATTCTTCAGTCCTATCATTTTCAAAATGTGTAAAGACTTGGAGACTGAGTCCTCCATATAGCTCTTTGTTAATGGCTGATCATTACCTAATACAAAGACCCTCACATTTGCCAGGCTATCGCACTGATAAAATGATGATCTTCTGTCATTTCTTCTATAGATTGAAAAAAATTGCACATGGCTGTGTCTGTCAATCCCATCAGCTTTAGATGCCTATTAAACATACAATGCCCTGTTAGTAGACCCACTACAGCTGTGACTACATTTCTGTCTTGCTTATGAAGTCTGCCGTAAATAATTTTGGCGAATGTTCTCTATATACCAGGGCAGGGATATCATAGAACTAAATAAACGGCAAGAGTTTCAAAAAACATCTAAACACCAGTTCTCAATTACTTAATGAAAAACTCTTATGTTTATACTAGTAATCCTAGTATCATTTAATATTTCTAACCAATTAATTATAATAAGTGAAGTAAACTTCCCACCTCTATAATTTAAAACCATATTTGTATTGCGTTTTAAAATTGGTGGAGCCTGACATTGACATACAAGTATCAAACCTTTCTAAGATCTTGAATTCGACCCAAACTGGCGATCCGATTTCTGCAAATTCTCGGTTAAAAAGATCATTAAATTTCTTGCGCAAAAACTATCCATCGTTATAGATGCCTATATTTTTTTTCTATACAACAATCCGACGTAACATCATAAATATAAAATTATCAAATTTTGAACATTGAACTGATTCTTGGACTTCAGTATGTTTCTACCATGTTCTATCGTCACAGACTAGTTTTGATGCACACCCTGTACAATTAACCGGTAATTTATCTAACGAGGTGGTTTTTAAATGGCAAAATTGATTCGGTTTAGGTTAAACAAAAGTGATTAATAGAAAAGAAATAGTATAGCCGGTTACGGTTACCTTATATGCGGAGAACATTAAAATTAATTCTTTAGAGTACGCGACAGGCCAACATGACGGCTTTTTTAGACCTAGATTACCGAGCATAACGGTTTTGTTTAGGTATGTTATGGATTAGACCGTTGTGTACACAAATATTGGTACACAGAGAAAAATAAATAGTGGGAAACTAAATTAGTTTTTTCTGAAATTTTATTAATTAATTTCTTAATTTTTTTAGAAAAGCCAAATTTAAAATTATTATTATTGTACTTGTTCCTTGAAAAAGATCTAAAGATGAATGAAACGTCGGAATACTAGTAAAGATTATCCTAAATTCTAATTAAACTGTATTGTTAAAAGCAGACCAAAGACCAAGAATAAGTTAACCAAGAACCAAAAGTTGTGTTGATTAGACCCCAAGGCAAAGGCATGCTTTTTATGCTAAACTTGTAGTAAATCGTTTTTGTTTGATTCAAAAGCGAATAACTCCAACTAAATAAAGCTATTGAAATGATTCTCATGAGTAAGAGTCGATTTAGACACTCGCCAAGTCGTTAGGCCATTGACAATGATATGGCCGAAGTCAGCGTTTCGGATTCAGCATAAACAAAGTAAACTTTAAACATGAAAATTTTTCTCTCTGTGTATAAATCGTTTGTTTTTAAAGTTTTCATTAGTGCAGTATTACAACATGAAGGAAACAAACTAATTGTTCGTGACTTATCAATGAGACCGATATGACTCAACACTACGTAACACAAACGCCCAAGAAAATATACTAGGTCGCTATTTTTTCCGCGGTATTCTAATCCAAAATCGTGAAAGGATTTAATTATTATTAAACAAATTAATTTCGCAAATGTCGGTCTGTGGTGGTTTACCTATATCGATTTTGTTTTATATTTGAACCTTAGATCAATATAAATCGAGTTGTTTAGTAAAACTTATGCTTTCGATAGTGTTAATATACAGACTGTATATAAATAAGCTTGTATATATTGTTTTTGATTTTTTTTCGTATCTATTTCGTTCTCATTTGACTCATTTTTTTGTAAATAGTAAGTTCTTGACCATTCTCGTTAATTCTTATTCTTTTACACGCCCTGTAACATTGTTTAAACAATCGTTAAATTTATTTTAACGCTCTATTAAAGTGCACTTACGAAATCCGTATCGTTCTTAGAGAAGGTGTTAACCTTCTTGAAAATGGGCATGATTTTTTTACAGGCAATCTAACAGGATAAACTCTAGGAAACTGAGGTTACCAAAGATATTTTCGAAGCAATTAGACTAATAGTACGTGTGTGCATTAAGTGTGGGCTTTAAGTATTATTTAAGATAATATTATACACTTTAATAAGTTGGTTATTTGCAAAATATGTAAATACTAGCTGATCTTGCAAACTGCATACCGCCCTAAAAGTGGAGTGAATTGGAAATTTTTCATTTTAAATCTTGCGATACGGATAACTGATTATTGAATTATCTATAGGATGATTGAGACCAATCGATATGAGAGTCATTATAATTTAATATATAATAAAAATAGAAAATAAATTTCTTGCAGTAGAGGTATATAATAAAATTATATAAGGATTCTTGCCACCTAACTGCTAATATAGAAATTTAATTCTACGCTGTGTTTGTCATAATGCGGATCAACCTGCTCTCACTACCGGTTTCGGAGCCCTACTCCATCATCAGGTGAGGTTGGGAGATCCACAAAATGACAACCACAGCGCAGAGATAGTTAATTCCGACTTGTCAGAAAGTATCGGTTAGATATTAAGTCCCGAACGGGAGATAGCGGCCTGCGTGCAATGGTAGTACTTTCGTACCACCGAGGCGCAACTATCGATAGTAAAAGGATGGTAAAAGACTTTTTTTTCGGTGGTACGAAAATACTACCATTGCACACAGGCCGCTATCTCCCGTTCGGGACTTAATATCTAACCGATACTTTCCGACAAGTCGGAATTAACTATCTCTGCGCTGTGGTTGTCATTTTGTGGATCTCCCAAGCTCACCTGATTATGGAGTAGGGCTCCGAAACCGGTAGTGAGAGCAGGTTGATCCGCATTATGACAAACACAGCGTAGAATTAAATTTCTATATTAGCAGTTAAGTGGCAAGAATCGTTATATAATTTTATTAATATATAATGTATATATAATTTATATAATTTAATAAATTATCAATATAATTTGCTCCTATTTAAAAACTACCGCTGTAAGTCTTACTACAGTTTTACTGATACTTAATTTGATTTCTTTCTTTTACAGACAGTTAATGGAAAAAGGTTCCTCCCAGTCATGGAGAGACGTCCTTTTCCAAGCCACTGGAGAGAGCAGACTTGATGGAAGTGCCCTTAGAGAGTACTTCAGACCTTTGGAGGATTGGCTCAGGAACGAGAACCTCAGAACAGGCGAATTTACTGGTTGGTTGTACGACGGAGACTACTGCAAGCAAAGTATAGAAACTGCAGGTTTGCAAGTATTTGGTGGTTTCTATAATGATAGTATGCGTATTAGTAGTACCTTGACGGTTTTGTTAATCTGTTTTGTACTTTTATGGAGACTTAGATGATTACGAATAACAGACATACAGTGTATTTCAAAAGTAAAATAAAATATTGTTACTTCTTTTATCAGTTTTTCAAGTTATCTGTGTTAAAATGTTTTATTAGATATACCAGAGAGCCCTCACAGACGCACAGTTTTGTCTGTCTTGCACTGTGCTTGTGCAATAAACATTTTTTTTTATTTTTGTCACTATAGTACCTACTTACTATTCTCCATGAACAAAAATTAATATAAAAAAAATGATTTTTTTATAATTAGATAAATTGACATAAAAACTGTTTATTTAAGTTTGACATTTTCTTTCAATTTAATAATAGACTGAACATTGTAATAAAATTGGCCAAGCCAACAGCCTGCACAGTAGGCCGGAAGTTCACATACGTGCCGATATGTCTGCACAAATCGAATTTGCACAATTGAAAAAACTGAGCGTCTGTGGGCGCCATTTAAACTTATATGAGATCGTACAATATGATCGAAAAAAAAACGGCGTCAGCGATGGCTATGAAATGAAGATCGCTGTCATTTTATATGAAAATTATATGGGGAATGACATCGATCGTCATTTCCAAGCCATCAAATGGTTTTGTGTAAAATTCGTAAATAATTTATCTCATTTTTGAAATACTCTGTTTTTAGATAGTTAAGAATATTTATTTTAAGGAAAAAAATAAATGAGTGATATTAAAAAATAACAAATTTATATCTTTCTATATCGTTTTTTGTAAATATTTTTTTTATTAATTTTCATTTTTTCTAATAAAATACATTTTAACTTCAATTTCCACTCAGTATCTTTAGGCATATAAAAATATTTAGTCATAAATTAATTTTAACAACAAAAAAATATATTAAAATACAAGGAAGCTTTAATTTTATATAGGTACATATTTGCAGAAAAAAAAGAACTGTATTTATTCTAATTATTAGTTTCTGTAAAGCATGACTTACTTTTTTTAATAAAGATTTTTTTATAAACTATGCAGGTTTTTTTTCTGTGTTATGAAACCTTGTTGTCTATTACATAAAACTGGATTCTCGGTTTAGAAATATTATTATTATTATTATCACATAAACCTGTTGCAAATTTACATTTAAAATGTGGTTGATCTTTTTTTCTTAATCACGTAGGTATCAAGTGCTTATAATTATAGAAAGTAGCAAACATAAATTTTCAGCTAAAATTAGGACCATTCGAAAAACTCAAAATAAATAATTTTGATAAATTGGTATTAATGAAACTGTTTCGATTTGACAACATTGCTCTAGTTTACCAACTGGTTTATATCTTTTATTTAAATTTGAAAATTAAAAAAAAGTTGCTTTGTAAATTTTTGGACAAATTTAATTGGTACAGTGTTAAAACTACTAATTTTTAATCAAGGAGCCTTGGAAAAATTAGTTTAATCGTCTAATGTTTTTAAAGTCTCTTCCGGGCTGGTTACAAGTTGACTAAATCATATTTTCAATCATATCTCATTTTTTTCAAGTGGAACGAGGGTGACTCATTAGCATATTAGTAATAAACATTTTTATCCCACAGCCACTACTTATACAGACATTACTCACATGTATACATGCCACATACATATACTGTGTTAATCATCAGAAGATGATCAAAATTCTAAGAACAACCGGAATTGACGAACAAGACCTACGTTTCATATCAGAACTTTATTGGCATCAAACGGCGGTAGTTGAGATGAAGCAGTCAACATCGGAAGATATACAAATCAGACGGGGTGTTCGGCAGGGTTGCGTCTTGTCTCCGCTCCTGTTTAACCTGTACTCGGAGACTATATTTAGAGAAGCACTGGATCGAATCCAGGGCGGAATCAAGTTCAATGGAATCCCAATAAACAATATCAGATATGCCGATGATACGGTTATAATAGCCAACGATATACAAGAACTGCAAAGCATTATAGATTCCGTAGTCCACTATAGTGAGATGTTTGGACTGCATCTCAATGTCTCCAAGACCAAACTATTGGTCTTTTCTAAGACTCCAATAAATGCACACCTGCGTGTCAAGGGACAAACAATCGAACAAGTGACCTCAATAAAGTATTTAGGAGCTAACATCAATAGTCAGTGCGACCCGAAAAGAGAAATATTTTCAAGAATTGAGCAAGCGAGAAAAATCTTCGTGAGAATGAAATCATTTTTTACAAGAAGAGACCTCAGTGCGGATCTCAGAACTCGAATGGCCAGATGCTACGTCTTCTCTGTGTTACTCTATGGATGTGAGAGCTGGACACTGGATTCACAGACCGAGAAGAGAATAGAAGCCTTCGAAATGTATATATACAGACGGATGCTGCGAATCTCATGGGTACAAAGGATCACCAACAATGAAGTACTCCAGCGCATGCAGAAACAAAAAGAGATACTGAACACCATCAAGGAAAGAAAAATGCAATACCTGGGTCATGTGATGAGAGGTGGTAGATACGAAATACTGCGCCTCATAATAGAGGGCAAAGTGCAAGGGAAAAGATCAGTAGGAAGACGCCAGAACTCATGGCTAAAAGATTTGAGGAGATAGTTTGAACGCTCGTCTGCGGAAATCTTCCGGGCTGCAGTTTCTAGAGCCACAATTGTTATTTGGATCGCCAACCTTCGACAGGAGAGGGCGTGATAAGAAGAAGAATACATGCCATATAAAATAAATAATAACACTCACGTGAGTTTTTGAAGTTATAACAAACTAGTGTATTATGAATTCTCTATCATATACGCCACGAAACTTTTCTAGCAGTATTTGTGCTGTAGCCGCCTCTGCCTAGTTAATAATTTTTTGGGGAAGATCTTCCTGAATCATTTTTTTTAAATCTGACTTGCTGGTTGATAATTCACTATTTTATCGTTAAAAAATCGCGATTTATCTAAGTGACGTCTTAATGTCAGTGCTATTTATTATTTACAAAAAAAACAAAACGCACATCTACCGGGTGTTGCATCGTCGAGCGGGACATAGGAAATCCCATGTAAATTTTAATGGGATCAATTATTGGCTTCCCTAATTATTTTAAAGAATAATTCTATTTAGGTTTATTGAAGAGCACTAAAACCCACATTCAAAAAAATAACTTTAGATATTTTTGATTAGCCCGTTTACGAGTTATCGCCGATTTCTTTTTAAATATTTCTCCTTTCTTATGGGCCTATATTTACTTATGAGCACCAGTCAAGGTAAAAAATAACTGTCAAATGAAGTTGTCATTTCAGAAATGTATCTATTTAGTGCTGTATTATTATTATTAAAAACGCATACCTACATTGAAAATTATCGTTAGCCATGAATTCCACTACCGAAGAAAAAGTATTGATGATTAACTGGTAGTATCAAGGAAATATTTATCAAAAGGTGTCGGACATGTTTGCTGCTCTGTATCCGAATAGATCTGGATACCTGGAAAATCTACAATCGCAAGGAATATCCAGAGATTTCAGACTAAAGGTACCCTAATAAATAACTGCAGATGTGAAGCAAGGCAGGAACAAAGAGAAGATGCAAGAAATGATACCGACTTGGAAGTTTTATTGTGCGTGGAAGAGAACGATGGAAAGATCAGCACAAGAAAACTTGAGGATGAAATAGGAATAGATCACACTACAGCGTTTCGAATTTTAAAACGACATAAATACTATTCCTTCAAATATGAAAAGCACAAAGAGCTACGAGATGGGAACGAAATATGGCGGCAGGCGTTTTGTTTTGATATGATGGAAAGAGCAAACACTTATAGAGAATTTTTAAAAAACATATGTTTCACTGACAAATGCACGTTTACCTTAAATAATGAACCCAATGTTCAAAATTATCGGTATTGGTACAAAGAAAACCAACACAGGTTTATCGAAACAAGGACGCAATATCCACAGAAAGTAAATGTTTGGGCAGGGATATTCGGACACAATATTATCGGGCCATTATTTCTTACACGAAATCTAAATGCAGAATATTATTTGGAACTACTCCAAAATCATATTTTACCTGCTTTACATGATGCCGCTAGGGAAAATCAGGAAGTTTGGTACCAAATGGATGGCTGCCCGGCACATAGTACCCTGGCTGTTCGGGAATATTTAGAATATTTAGAATAGTTTTAACGGAAACGTTATTGGCCTAAATCATACAGTAAATTGGCCAGCAAGGTCTCCTGATATTTCGCCAAATGATTTCTTTCTCTGGGGCCATTTAAAAAACAGGATATACAAGGATAAAAAATACCCAAGTCTAGACGAGTTAAAAAATGCTATTTCTACCGAATGCAATAGAATTTCAGTTTACCAACTAGCGAATCTAAGAAGAGAATTTTATGATTGCATGGGTTATTGTCTAGCAGTCGATGGAGGAATATTTGAACATCTTCTTAAATCCTAAAGTTCTAACAATTTAATAGTACCTAAATTAATAAGTTATTGAATATTGTAATAATACTATAATTAACCTTGTAATTGATTACTTTATTTTACTTTAATTCATATTAATTTGTATTTATAAATACATATTTAAAATTTCCGATGTAGGAATGAGTTTTCAATAATAATAAAGCACTAAATAGGTAAATTTCTGAAATGAAAACTTCATTAGAAAGTTATCTTTTATCTTGACTGGTGCTCATAAGTAAATACAGGGCCATAAGTAAGGAGAAATATTTAAAAAGAAATCGGCGATAACTCGTAAACGAGCTAATCAAAAATATCTAAAGTTATTCTTTTGAATGTGTGTTTTAGTGCTCCTCAATAAACCTAAATAGAATTATTCTCTAAAATAATTAGGGAAGCCAATAATTGACCCCATTAAAATTTACATGGGATTTCTTATGTCCCGTCCGACGATGCAACACCCGGTATATTGCATATTAACATAAACGCACCCTGATAATTTATTAATTCGCAACAAAAAAAAAGAAAGTAGAACTGGTAGATCCTTTTAAATCACTTATTCTTCTCTCACAGTTCTGCAAATTTTGTATGGCACTGGCACTCGCGTGTTATGACATATAAGTCACTTCAGAAAATTAGCCCTCTCAGCCTACGGCCTCGAGAGCAATCTCCCCACGAGAGATGGCACACATTTTTTGAAACACCCTATATAGATTGCCAATTAACAAAAAATATCGGATAAAGACATAATAATGTATCTAGCAAGCGACAAAAATTTATTATAAAACAAGTCAAAGTCGTGAACGAGACCTTGTTCTATATTCGAAGGAAGCCGTTTTTCTCTATTACAAAATGGCGGTAATTATATCGAGATAAGGAAAAACTATTTCGCAGTATCCACTTCCTCGAGCAGCAATTTTTCCATCTTTATTTTGTTAAATTTTCGATGGACAATTTGATAATTGGTTACCATTTTGATAGAAAAATAGTGTCTCATTTAAAAAAAAAACATAAGTTTGAGTTATAATTCAAAAATCTATTTACGTCAGTAGAAACTACGTGAAAAACGCTACGGGAATCAATTTTCACCTTTTCGATAAATTATATTTAACCAAAATTCGAGGGGGTCGAAAAATTTAACTTATATTTGGCTTATATTTGGCTTATATTTGGCTTATATTTCAGGAATTAAGACAGAAATCTGTGTATAGAATGTTTAATTTCATAAAAAAGGTAGTATCTAAACATCGTTTTTTAAATCACACTTTGACATTTCAAAGAAAAACACTCTTTTCCATAGGAGATAGACGAAATCTGATATAGGTGCCTAGATGTCAATTTTTATCATAAACAATATGGTAAAAACCGCACATCGATATTTGTTACCGTTTCGGAGTTACGGGGTGTTTTTCTAAAATGTACATTTTTAACAAATCGCAATTTCCTGTCTCACAATGTACCGTTTGTGTCGGGGAAGGGATCATAGTTTCATAGTTGTCGATTTTCGAAAGAAATCAGTACATGTATATTATTTTGTATAT